TTGGAGCTCAGGTGCCTGGTTCTCTGAAAGTGGAATCACAGGTAGATGGGGCAGTGAAGAAGGCTTTTGGCACACTGGCCTTCATCAGTCAGGGTATTGAGCACAGAAGTTGGGAAGTTATGATGCAGTCGTATATGACGTTGGTGAGGCCGCACTTGGAGTATTGTGTTCAGTTTTGGTCACCTTGCTATAGGAAGGACGTTATTAAACTGGAAAGAGTGCCAAAGAAATTTACAAGGATGTTGCCAGGACTCGAGGGACTGAGTTATAGGGAGAGTTTGGACAAGCTAGGACTGTTTTCTTTAGAGTGTAGGAGACTAGAGAGGACTCTGTAATATCATGAGAGGTATGGATAGGGTGAATGCACTCAGTCTTTTTCCCAGGGTTGAGGAATCAAGAACCAGAGAGTTTAAGGTAAGAGGGGAAAGAATACATGGGAACCTGAGGGACAACCTTTTTACACAGAGGGTGGTACGCATATGGAATGAGCTGCCAGCGGAAGTGGTTGAGGTGGTACATTAATGACATTTAAAAGGTATTTGGATGAATACATGGATAGGAAAGGTTTAGAAGGATATGGACCACGTGCAGGTAATGGGCTTAGCGAGGATGGACATTTCAGTCAGCACGGGCCAGTTTGGGCCAAAGGGCCTGTCTTGGTGCTGTAGGACTATATGGCTGAGTGCCCTCTCCAGGGTCAGGTGCAAGCCCTGAGGAAGCATACTGCCTTCTCGTACATTTCCAAGGTTGTAGCAACATTTGAGGCTGAGCACCTGAGCCTTGATATTTACACACAATTTGATCATTGGATTGGATTGGGATGGGCGTATCTCTAAGCCCTGTGCTTATTTTAACGAGGGAAACGGCGATGAGGCCACATGAGCAGGAACAGAAGTGGCTGTGGCTCGTGTTAGGCTTTTGAACTCTGCCACTGGCATATATGGTAAAGCTATTTTTCTTTGAGCTACACCCACCCTTTTAATTGTAATTTATAAATGATGTACAGGATGTTATAATTCAGGGAGATCAAGCCTTCAGAAAAGGGAACAGTTGGTGTCTCTTCTTGAAAAAGAGACAAGGATGTAAGACATTTGAATTGGGGATGGGCAGGAGAGAGTTCCAGGTCAGGTAGGTGCATGTCAGGTATTTGTACATAATGAGAAAGATGTTGGTTCAGAATTGGGGAGTGGGTGATGTTTTCTTATCTGCAAAAGCCAATGGCCTGTCCTGACTGGCACCATTTAATTCAATTTGATTTTTCAGCCTTTCTGCCCCTCCCCCAAAATGCAGTCACAGTCCTTTGTGTGAAAAAACACGACCTCAAGGTGTATACAAAAAGTCCTTGATGTTTCTTTGTCCTGATACCTTCCTCTCTATTCAGCTCCAGGCATCAGTTAGATCAGTTGGCTGGTTTGTAATTCAGAATTATGTGGATTCATTTCCTGCACCAGCTGGAACCTGGACTCTCATGATGAAGAACTGTCCTTCTCAACCTCTTCCCTCACCTGAGACATGGTGACTGTCTGGTTAAACCACCACCTGTCTTTCTAATGAGGTCAGACTCTCTGACTCACTCTCTCTCTCTCTCTCTCTCTCTCTCTCTCTCTCTCTCTTCACTTAAAATCTGTTATGTTGTCAGATTTGTTGGAGCAAATGCAACTTACAATATTATCTCTTTCAGAATCATTAATTTATACGATATGGATGCCTGCACATGCACTTTCCATGAGGCTATTTGCTCCTTAACATTCAGTAAGGCTCTTCAACTCCTTGTGTACTCTCACAACTCCTGCATTTACATCTGTGTATCGTCAATTTTCAGAATACTGCTCTTTAATCTTGTACCCCAAACCTCCATCTTCACATACTCATTCTAGATTAGTATCTTCCTCAGGTGATCAATTACATCATCTTTGACCAATTTTATTATACTGCTTCCAACTACTCCATTGGCTGCCAGAGAGGCACCTCTTGGAATTAGTTCATATTTGATGCGCTTTGTATAAATGATTTCATTTTTAAGGGTGCCTTAGCTTTTAGCTGCTGATGTGGGAGAACCCTAGAGTGCAGCATTTAGCATGTGGTCCATGGCGAGAATGTGTCAGCACAGAGTAATTTCTGTGTGTTTACACCCAGTCCTCCTTGTGACTCTGAAGACTGACTTAGCTTCTGTTTAACCTTGCTGTTGGACTCAGCCCAGCATGGCACCTGCTATTTACCTTCTGACTAGATTTGAATTATGTTTGTCTTATTCATAATCAGTTTAGTTGTCATTACTTAAAACCTAAACTAGGAATCAAAGTTAAAACTGAAGTGCATACGGAAACTTTGGTACTTTTTTTATTCATAACAGCTGATGCAGTTTCTGACAGCACGGTGGTGTGCATTCAGTGCAATGTGAACAAGACCTGCAGAAGTTTTTAAATTATTCATTCATGGGATATGAATCATTGGCTAGGTCAGCATTTCTGCCATCGTTAATTACCCTAAAGGCAGTGATTTAAAGTTCAAAGAATCTGACCAATCAAAACAGAATGACGATATCTTTGAGTCAGGATGATGTGTAATTTGGAGGGAACCTTATAGGCGGTGATGTACTTATCTATCTGCTGTCCTTGTCCTTCTAGGTGGTAGAGATCACATGTTTGGAAGGTGATATCAAAGGGTTTTTGAGTTCCTGCAGTGCAGCTTGTAGATGGTACACATTGGTGCCACTGTGTGTCGTTGGAAGAAGTGAATGTTTAAAGTGGCAGTAGTAAAAGTGTCGACCCAGTCGGATTTGTCCTGAATGGTGTTGATGTTCTTCAATACTATTGGAGTTGATGGTCAGAATTTGTGTGGTACAAACATCACTTGCTACCTATCAGCGCATTTTTTTTTACTGTGTTATGTCTCAGTCATGTATCAGTACATCTTTTTAAGAACACAGCATGTCTTTGAGAGACATGCTCATTATGTCACAACTGTATCATAGCATGGGACCTGAGAAAATGGAAATCTTCAGCCTCATCTTAATTCTGATCACTTGAAGAGCATCACACTCTAGAAACAGGCTCTTTTATTGTGACTGTAGAGCCTAATAGTTGCCCAGACATGTGTGTGTGTGACTGTAATAATTGGACCTAATAGCCGTTGTAATAAACAACTTGGATCTTTCAAAACCATCATCCACACAGAGTTTATATTACCAGGGATAATATAAGCTTTGATGCATCAGGTTAATACTGTGTGAGAGGCAAAATTCACAAAAGTCTAGGTCTTGTGTAATGAGGTGCTCTGAATGGTGCTGCACACTGTACAATTGTCAGCAAGAATCATGAATTTTGATCTTTTGTTTTTATCTTGTATGACGTGTGCATCACTGGCTGGCCAGCATTTAGTGCCTGTCCTAGTTGTCCTTGAGAAAGTGGTGGTGAGCTGCCTTCTTGAAACGCTGCAGTTCATGTGCTGTTGGTTATGCCATTAAGGAGGAAATTCAAGGATTTCGACCCAGTGACAGTGAACATAGAACAGTACATCACAGTACAGGCCCTTCGGCCCACGATGTTGTGCCGAACTTTTACCCTAAACCTAAGGTCTATCTAACCTCCACCCCTACCTTATACTATCATCCATATGCCTATCTAATAGCCGCTTAAATGCCCCTAATGAGGCCGACTCCACTACCCTATCCGGCAATGCATTCCACGCCCCTACCACTCTCTGAGTAAAGAACTTACCTCTGACGTCTCCCCGATTATCTGCTTCCACTCACTTTACGAGAGATTAGAATCTGTGGGTAAGGCATCAGAGTGAAAGAATGACCCTTTAGAACTGAGATGAGAGGGAATTTTGTGAACCAGTGATTGGTGAACCTGTGGAGCTCATTGCCGCAGAAGGTTGTGGAGGTCAAGGTATTGAGTATATTTAAGACAGAGAGAAGTTCTTGATTGGCAAAGGGATCAAGGGTTATGGGGAGAAGGCAAGAGAATGGGGTTAAGAAACACAGCAGCCATAATCAAATGGTAGAGCAGACCCAGGGCCAAATAGCTGAATTCTGCTTCTACCTTTTATGGTCTGATGGTTGCAATTGATACAACTAAGTGGCTTACCCAGCCATTTCAGAGGGTAGTTGGCAGTCAATATTATATTAGAGGTAAGTGCACCAGGAAAAAAGGTAGTCATCAACAGTAGCTTTTATTGCCCATGTTTATGAAATTTAATGGGTTTCAGAGTACATTGGCTGTAAAGTATGATTCAGTGTGCAGTGTCCCCTCTCTGTCTCCAATAACTGTTTGCACAGCAATCAAACCATTATTGCTCCTAGATTCTCAATTCAATTGTCCTGTCAACAAATGCTGTTTCATGTTGCAAATGTGTTCTTGCTGCTGTGTACTGTGAATAATGGAGTGTAGTTGTCTGTGGGCTACACAGGGTTGGGTTGGGTATATGATTCTTTCAATGTTCCACCTTCTGTGTTCATTCTGATTTGATTACAGTTAAATAACTGGAAAAATAAGTAAATCACTGAGCAATGGCTGATAGGGTGAAATCCAGGTATCTTAGATACTGTACAAAACTGAGGGAAACAGGTGCCACTTCATTGCTAGGTCATCAACCATTCATGAATTGACTGGTCTTAGTACATCTACAAAGAAGTGTTTCATTTTAAATTCAAAATTAAATGTTGTACATAATGACTGTTGTTAGAATTGTTACTACAAGTGAAAATTTTATATTCTCAATCTTTTGTGCAAGCATAAATGAGATGACCATGTTTTGAAATTGGTGGAACAGAAATATTACTACACCTGCAACAGGGTTAGAGAGAGAGTTTGTAACAACACTTCCCTGAATGTGTATCGGGCTATCTAAATTAGGCAAACGGTGTTGAATAGACTGTGTTTATTACAACATACAGAATAAGAATGTTTTTGGTAGAATCTGAAAATGGAGTAAAATCTACACTCTGTACGGTATTAAAATGAGTAATTGATTAATTGTTATTTTATTGCCAACAGAATGTTACAGACTCTGTGTGACTGGTTTTGGTGGGATCACCTCTGGCTTCCCCGAAATCTAACCTGGGCCGATCTAGAGGACAGAGAGGACTTTGTGTATGCCAAGGTCTCACATTTGTATGTCACAGTCTTGTATGCTGCTCTCCTTATGATAGTCCGGCACTTTTTTGAAAGGTAAAGCCCTTTACTTAGCCATGATCTGCAGTGTTTGTGTGATAGAAATACAGAATGGTGATCGTGGAAGCTCAGTAAATGATTCAAGCAGATATCAAATGAGTGACCACACAAGCATCATCGGACCCGGTCACTGGTTATTCCTGGACGCTACTGCTACTGCTACTCCTGCTTGTGTGCTTTGTGCAATCATCAGCAAATAGCTTTTTTGGCTCGTTTCTAGTTTGAGACCTTCAGGGTTCTTCGTTCCTTAATCCATGGAGTGCAGACCTTTTTTAACATGTAAATTTCACAAAAATATAACCGATTATTAAATTAGTGCAAATAATTCTGATGAGATTCTACAAAGGGATCTTTAGAATGTATAGTGAAAGTTGCAATGTGATAAATTTGTAACCTGGCAACATGTCCATAAGCTGGCAGATTTATTAACGACCAGGTTTGGGAGTCACAATAAAATTCTCCACCTGAAGCATAGCATCTAGATTTTTTTATTTTTGGCGGAATTAAGCGCAACCATTGGGCACATAGTTACATCTGTCCAACATGTTGAAGCTGAAAAACTCGGTTAACAAATGGGATTTTCCATTTTATGGCTGTTTTGTCTCCAAAAGGAATCTGACAGCGACAACACCCTTTTTAGTTCCACTGCTGCACTCAAACAAACAGCATTTAATGGTGCTGTTCCATCTGTTCGAAGGGACAATCTATGTCCCTTCACCCATCATAAATTTAATTTTTCTGAAAAGATATCATTGTGTCAGCCACAGTTGGCTCCAGTCGGAGGTCAATATTTTAGCAGCCAAAGCTCTCCAGTACAAAGTCCACAGACACTGACAAACATATGTGTAGAAAACAAAGTGAGCTTCTAAATTTAGTTCACCTTTATGATGACTCTTACTTACTGAATATGACCACCTAACACAGCAAATGATAAGATTCCATACCTCTGTGATTTTGTCCCTCAGAGCAGGGAGGAGGAGGCTCCCAGTGCTGCTGACTAGGTTTGCATTTTTAAAAAAACCTTTGACCTCCTCTTCCCTTTTAAATTGATTTTGGTTCAGAAGGGTTTGCGACCAGCTGTCTACAGCAGCTTGGATCAGTTGCTGGGAATTCTGTGCAAGAAGCCTGTGGACCTTCTCCATTCTTACTCCTTCCCTGTGGGAGGTATTTGAAGATTTGGTGCTTCCTACATTCAGCATTCCTAAGGACAAGAGACATTTAATGTGTGGACTTGCTGAACCTGTAGTAGAGTATGCTCGACTATGAGGCCATAATGTTCCTCCTTTATAAAATCATCTAGAGTTTGTACTCTTGCCAGTGAGAGTCATACTCATTGCTGCCTTTTGAAAGTTGTGTTGGAAGGAAAGTATATTTGCATAACTTGTGCCACTAAAACACAGATTGATTGAGCTTTCTTTAATTTCCACCCAGTCTCATGATTTTTTTTTTTCAAATGTGCTGATTACTCTTTAACATCAAGTGCTGCAAACTTTACTACTTGACAAAAGCAAGTATGCTTTTTGTTGAATAGAAGGCCCACTGTTCTCAGCATGTACTAGAATGCTTCACAGCTGATGAAATGCTGAAATGTAAAGCTGAATTCTGTTGATTGGGCAGTTTCCTTTCAGTTTACGGATGGTAGCTAATTAAGCAATTGCCATCAGTGTTGCCAGCCTATTGTGGAGGGACGGCTGCCCCCTGCAAGCAGCTCACTGAGTCAGAGAGCTGTGAGCTCGGCAGTGCCACCAGAACCTGAGACTGTTGCTGAGGCAACACTGGAGGACCTCCTCTCTTCTTTCTCCACCATCTCCCCCCACTGCGGAAACAAAAACAAGAACATATTGAGGCTGAATCACTGGGGCCTTGGGTGCAGCCTTCTCCACACATGGCGTCCTGACCCATCAAATCCTCCCCTACACTCCGTCCTTCAGCCAGAATTGCAGTAAGTGTCTGTTTCTATTCTGCTAACAGCCTTCCCATGCTTTGGGAGGGAGCAGTGATGAAATTACCAGCAGGCATGTTTGGACGTTAAAGGGGCCTGTGCGCAGTCTAATGGGAAGCCCACTTCCTGGAGAATCTCATTCCCACTTTCAGTAAACTCATGACAATGGAACATGGCAGAGAAGCTTATCCACCTCCAACACCTCGCAATTTTACTTCCCCCTTGCCCCCTTACTTTCTGGTCCCCTGAGAGCAGGTAAAATTCTGCCTGTGATTCCTGCTGCGGTGTAAGCTGGCATGGTAGCCAATTTTGGCAACAGGTCAATTCCTCAAATAGTTTATATATTTAAACAAAAACAAGTAGCCTTTCTAAAAAGAGAAATTCAGTCCCATTCACAGGATTCCTACCATTGATTGGATTTATTAATCATTTCAAATGAACATACGAACATAAGAAACAAAAACCAAAAATTCCCATTTTCTCAGATTTCCAACATCTTCGGTTCTTTTGCTTTATTTTTATATGAACATACAATTAGACCTCTTGAGGTCATTAACCTGAAATGTTAGGTCCCCTTAATACTGCCTGACCTTTGAGTACTTCTAGAATATTCTGATTTAAATTCCTATTTCCAGCATCAGTATTCTACTTCCCATCAAACTCAGTTTCAATTCTTTTCACTTTGATTATAACTAAGGCTTCAGCTTGTTTGATGTGAGTGTTGGAATAAATTTGGTATCTTGTCTGCCACTTGGCATTCTGCTAGTCCCTTTTGTCCTTTTCTCCCTGCGTTCATTTGACTTGAGGGCATGTACTCTGGTTTCTTCTCCATTCAGAGACTTGTCAGCAGGTCTGTCACCCAAACAGACATGCTTGCTGTCAAGGAAATATTCTCTTGATGAGCTCTCTGTGTGATGCCCTGCAGTTGTATGGGAATGGGTTACTAACGCTTGAAGAAAGATAATGTTGCTTATTCTCACTGACAAATGTTGCGGAAAATCAGTCCTGTTAATCTACCTCCACCTCCTCTTGGCCAGTTAAGACTGCGCAATAAATTCTGGCTGAGCCAGCAAAGCACACATCCTGTTAAAGTTATTAAAAAATGAGCAGAAGTCTTACTTTTTCTGCCATTAAGTTAATTTACATATTTTGGATAGAGCTAATTTTCAGAACAGTCTTGAATGTGAAAGAACAATCCTAGAATCGCACTCATTGTAGTCTTATTTTACACAGAGTTAGGAAGTGATGCACTTTGTAGGTAAGTTTGAGGATTGGGAAATGTGAAAGTGGGTGCAGAAACAGAAACTTGGAGGCTGGATGTGCACACTCAGGTCTTTGAATGTGGAAAGGCAAGTTAATAATGTTTTTAAAAATGGAATCTTTGGACATAGAGATTCTGGTAAACCTCTTATATAAATTGTAGTTGCTTGGCAACATGGGACTTAACACATTGCTAAAAATACACCTTTTGTGGACGCTGTTTGTCTTGCACTCATGAGGATAATTTATAATATTAATTTAAGTGGAAAACCAACCTTTATACATTTATTGTATTATTTATTTATCACAGGTGACAGCCATTCACTGATCCATTTCTTGGTAACACCAGTCAAGCTGACTGGCTTAAATTTTAAGCAAAGCCTAGAGGTTAACCGGCAATCATCACTAACTGGTTCATTCTCCATCATAATACCTCTACCAATGAAAGTTCACTTGCCAACCAATTAGCTCACTCATTGAATAATTGTTGTTTTCCCCTGGCATTGGTATTTTGCGAATTTTCCTTATGAGTACAAGCCAAAAACCTTTAACATAATGTATTTGCAAATTGCTGGTTACACCTTCATTGGAGTGTGTATCTTATTCTGGCAATGATATTTTGAGAAGGACGCCAAGACCTTGGAGTGGGTGCAGAAGAGATATGCTGAAACACAGGAATGAGGAACTGTAGTCCCATGAAGAGACTAGAAATAACAAGGATTGTTCTCACCAGAGCTGAGAAGATTATGGGGAAATTTAATAAGGGATGTTCAAAATCATAAAGGGTTTTAACTCAGTAAACCAAAAGTACTGATTCTACCTTTTCTACTGTATAGCAATTAGAAAAGTTTTTAAGTTACTTTGGAGAAGATCAAGGTGGAAGACTGGGAAGATGTTTCTGTTGTGCAAGTTGTCATGATTGATGTTGCAATGCCTGAATGGAGAATGGCAATAGATTGGTTTATAACTTTTAAAATAAAATTGGATAAACCTGCAAAATATAAAATGTTGCATAGCTGTGGGGACAGAGCAGGCAGGTGGAATTAATTGATGAGATTTGACAAAGAGCTGGTATAATTAGGAAAAAAAAATTGGTTGTAGCCCCAGGTTTTATGATAATGCATTTACTTTTACAGGTTGATTGCTACACCTCTTGCCAAAATGCTAGGGGTTAAGGACCAAATAAGATTGAAGGTCACATATAATGTGGTTTTAGAAAACTTTTTTGTTTCCACATCAAAACATCCAACGAGGGTAAGTTTGTATTTGAATTTGAAAATTGCTGTAAATTAGTTTTATGTAAAAAGTTAATCAAACTGCTGTTATTTTGAATGCACTTGGAAACATTAAACAAATACAAGATCATGATTAGTATTTATTATTTCTGATCCTAACTGCTGTATGGTTCAGAGGTTTCGGGAGGATTGAAAGGTTCTAGGTCCGGGCTATGGATGTGAGTTGTGAAATGTGAGACTATGAAGACTTTTTAGATTAGCTCTCTGGTTGAACACACTAAGGAAGATGCAGTGTAAAAGGTTTTTTTTTTTTTTTTTTTTTTTTTTTTTTTTTTTTTTTTTTTTTTGAGGGGTTCCAGTTCCAGCAAGAACAAAAACAGAAATTGCTAGAGAAACTCAACAGGTCTGGCAGCATCTGTGGAGAGAAAGCAGAGAGAATGTTTCAAGCCCAGTGACCCTCCTTTAGAACTGAGCATCTGGGAAAAGATGATATTTATGTTGAGGAGAGGTAATGGGGAAGTTTGCACATTAGTTGTTCTCTGTATCTGTTGCCCTTGTTCTAGGTAGTAATCTCAAATGTGCTATCCAAGGAGCCTTGGTGAATATCTGCATTGCATCTTGTAGATGCTATAAACTGCTGCTATTGAATGTCAGTAGTGGAAGGAGAAATTAGCATCTCATCTGCAAACAGTCAAGTGGGCTGCTTTGTTGTGAATGGTGCAATAATGCTTGAGCATTATTAGAGTTGCAGTCATCCAGACAAGTGGGGAGTACTTGATCACATTCCTGACTTTTGCCTTGTGGATGGCAGACAGGCTTTGAGGATTTAGGAGGTGAACTACTTAGAGCCATAGGGTCCCTACAGTGTGGAAACAGGCCGTTTGGCCCAACAAGCCCACACTGCCCCTCTGAAGAGCATCCCATCCAGACCAATTCCCCTACCCCTGCATTTTCCATGTCTAATCCACCTAACCTAAACATCCCTGGACACTATGGGACAATTTAGCATGGCCAGTCCACCTAGCTTGCACATTTTTGGACTGTGGGAGGAAAAAGGAGTACCCAGAGGAAACCCACGCAGACACAGGAAGAATGTGCAAACTCCACAGAGACAGTTGCCCAAGAGTGGAATTGAACCCGGGTCCCTGGCACTGTGAGGCAGCAGTGCTAACCACTGAGCCACTATGCTGCCCAATTATTGCAGAGTTCCTCGTGTCTGACCTGCTGTTGTAGCCAGTGTATTTATATGACTAGTCCAGTCCAGTTCAGTTTCTGATCAATGGTAACCCCAAGAATGTGGGGGATCAAGTGATGTCCGTCTGTCTGTCTCTCGGTCGGTCAGCTGGTCTCTGTCTCTCTCTCTCTCTCGATCCCTGGCTCCGAATGGATCCCTCTGGGAGCAACACCAAGTGGGATTGCCTATGTTCTGCAGTGATCCCTCACCTCTGTTTAAACTTTCCACTCAATCCCATCTCTCATGTCGCAAGAGTGGGAGTTGATTATGAGAACTTTGTGAGATTGTGACAGTTTTGCAAAGGGACCCAAGCACCACAAGGTTAATAATATATGTCAACAACAACTTTATAACCCATCAAAAGTTTCACTTTCAATAAATGTGGTGAGCATCATCGGTCTTTGCAGTGATTGGAGCCAAAGTGAGTAAAAGAATTCCCAGTCTTTTGCTGGTGCATTTCTAACAGGGGAGAAAGTGCACAGGACTGAAACATTATACCACATAGAAAGCTGATTTTGTTTTGTTTTATTTTATTCCAATTGTGTTGCAGGATGTTATCCTCAGATCAAGCTTTGTAATTGTAGACCTGATAACCTAGCAATAAGGAACATGGCTGAAACATGAAAGAACTACCTTACAATCTAGTAATGGGGATGAAAAAGTTATTGAGTGAAATGCCCCAGAAATTTATCTGAGCATCCTGATCTACACAAGTAGCCTGCAGTGAATTTTGATGTTAAAGAAACAGATTTGAGCATGGGGGAGCGAAAGGAGTTAGGAGGCCTCAAAGGTTAAATGGATAACAAAGCAGCAATTTTAAGTAAATGTCTTGCAGGAGGAGAGTGAGTTAGAAATGTGGAGAGATGTAGAGAGATCCAGAGTCTGGGAAACTGAAGGCATGCCTGCCAATGATGCAGCACTTAAATTGGTAATACTCAAAAGGCCAGAATTAGATAGACATGATATATTTCACGTCCACAAACATATAACATATATAGATATACAGTCTTTGGCTTATGTACAGGCAGTGCTTAGGTTGTGAATGGGTTCTGTTCTGGAGTCCATTTGCAAGTCAATTTATGTACAAGCTGGAACACTATGCAGTACAATATAAAATAGCCATGTGTAAGTATGAAGAGACTTTCGCATTTTGGATCTTTTAACATCAATGTTTATACACCCCTGTATGGGATTGCATTCATAAGTATGAGTGTGGTAAGTGGAATGCCTGTAATTTGAGGATTCCTTATATTGCCTTTTCTCTCTGACAAGGAAAGCCCTAAAAAAGCACCAATAATGTTACAAAGTGGCCGAATCTCTCAAGAAACATGTTAAGTAGGGACCTCTAAAAAGGAGTCCCTGAAAATGAAATGTAGTCCCTGAGAGAATCTCAAGAGGAGCCCCTTATAGAGTTGGGGGAATATGTATGGAACTGAACAGTTATTCGTGATTTTTCTGTTAAACTTGCAGTCACAGATAGAAGGTTTGTCAAAGAAATGCAGTTGGACAGTACGGATGGTCGAGAGATGGCTTAGAAGGCGGCGCAATCAAGATAGACCAAGTTTGATGAAAAAATTTCGAGAAGCTTGGTAAGTTTTCAATGATATTTCCAGTTGTTATCAATTTCAGATAGCTGTTTCTCTTTCAGGGGGCATCTTTGATCCTGAATCTATTTGGTTTGGGGATTCAAATTGCTAATTGTTGCTTTATCGATTTATTCTTTTGATCATAGGGTTCATTGGCCAGGCCAGCAATTATTTTTGGCCATCTTTAATTGTCCTGGAGAAGGTGACAGTGTGTGGTACTAACGTAAACAGGGGAGATTTCCTACAAAGTATAAACAAGCTTGTGAATATCTGGTTACACATTTGCAAACAAAACTCGCTTTCTCTAAATCTCTGGATTTGGTTAATTATGACAGACAAAAATGAATGTTGCAAATCCTGTGTACTGTATATCGGGGGATACAATGCAACTTAAAATAAACCATCTGACACATTGTGAAAGCTGGAGTTGTCCGCTCCTTGAAACAAAAAACAAGGCTTTAATATAAGTGAACAAAAAGCTCACACTGGGGATAACTGCAGTTTTGCAGGATCCAATACTGAGTGGCCAATCTTGCTGAAAAGGGCAACTCTGTACATTTATCTTTGAATTTGTTTGTTAACAGCGATGTGGGTTTCACTGACTGGGCAAACATTTACTGCCTGCCCCTAATAGCCCTGGAGAAGGCTTTGGGAGCTACTTTCTTGAAGTGCTGCAGCTGTGTAGATGGGTACAACCACAGTTACAGCCAGGCCTGACCCAGCACATTTCACTCAATTACTTATTTTTGCTCCTTACACCTTTGCTCTCACGCTCTTTCTCTCTGAACACTTATTACCCTGATATTTGCTCTGGGGTGGGAGGGATTTCCGAACTTTTGGAAACATTCCTTGCCTATGAATCCTACCCAACTGGCTCAAAAATAATGCTTTATTGACTTAAATGACCTAGGTGTGAAATAGCCTTGTCAACTTCTACGGCTCAGAAATTTGCGTTTGCTGAATGAAGTGGTGCTGTTGATGATGCTAAGTTTGGAAAGGAAACACTACAATGTGGGTTGAGTGAGTGGAGTCCAGAGGCCTGATGTGTTATAGGTTGTATTCTGCTGATATGTGACAAATTATACTACAGCACCTAAGGAAGAGACACAGCTGTGACTGAGCAGAATTGGGACATGACAGGCAAAGAATAAGAGCAAATGAACAGTTTGGTTTAAAAAGAGGTTTGCAGTTTATAACAACGTTCACATCCTAAAGCATTGCAAAGCCACTGAAGGACTTTTGAGACAGTGACTGTCGTCATGTGGGAAATATAGCAGCCAATTTATGCACGGCAATCTCCCACAAACAGCAATGGGATAAATGACAAGATTCTGTGCTTTAGTGATGTTAGTTGAGGGAATAACATTCTTCTCAGTACAGGCCATGGCTTGCTTTAATACCTTATCTGAAAGTCACCACATCCAACAGTGCTGTAGTCCTTCTCTACTGGAAGTGTCAGCTGAGATTTTGAGTTGGACTCCAGAATGGCACTTGAACCTACAATATATTGCTGGGTAATTCTCATACCCTAGATTTGCAGCAGAGAAGAAATGAATAAGCTGCCCCTGTTACCTCTCTGAATGTAAAGCAGCCTCTAACCTGGCCATGTCTGCAGCCCTTTTTATATAACTGATCATAGCCACTTCAGATGATTTCCACCCTCCTCGTGTTTTTTTTGACTAGAGAGGTGATGCTACCCAGGTATGTGATCGATGGCCTCGGAATAGTGCTCAGCCTCCCACATTTTGTCAAGTCTCTGGAGAGGATTGTGACGTAACTGATTGGTCAATTGTTTCTTGCAGTTTTGCTGCATCATTTTCTCCTTCTTTTGTTGATCACTGAACTATTGACTGTCTCTCACAAGGATGTTCCAAACAGTGGTTTACCTTATAATGTTGTGTTGCTGTTTGTGGGATCCTGCTGTGCATTACAACAGTAACTACTCTTCAGAAAGCAACTTCCATGTTGGGAAAGTGCTCTGGGACATCATCGTGTCATCAAAAGGCTTTGCTTTTTTTATCCCCCTCTCCCCTCGCAATTGGACTGGGCTTCATTTCCAAGAGCAGTAGTGTCCTTGGCCATGTTGAGCAGCTCTGGTGAAATCCCTGTGCTTGCTCAACATATCCACAGAAAATCACTACCTGGTGACAGAAACAAGCTGTGACTCTTCCCTGCTGATTGCTGAGAATATTCTTCCACAAGGTTCTTCCTGTAATGTGCAAAAAGGAATCGTCCTTTGTGACATTTAAAATAAAACTGTATTGCAGCATTTCAGTTAATCTCTAAAACAAATTATACAACTCTGAGTGTCCCAAGAGTCAGATTGACCTTCCAGCAGCAAGATGTATCAGTAATGCGTCTGTTTAAATAATGTAGAATTTTTGTTTAAGCCCACTGTGGGATGTGAACATTGCTGGCTAAGCCAGCATTTATTATCCTCAAGAATGTGGCAATGAGCTGCTGCCTCAAACTGCTGTAGCTATTGCAGCATAGGAACATCCATGATGCTGTTTGGATGGGAGTTCCAGGATTTTGACTCGGCATTACTGAGAAACAGCAATATGTTTTGAAGTCAGGAAGGTGAATAGTTTGGAGGGCAACTTGCAGGTGGTGGTGTTCCCAAGTACCTGCTGCCTTTGGCCTTCTAGATAGCAGTGGTCATGGGTTTGGAAAGTGCTGTCTAATGAGTCTTGCTGAGTTACTGCAATGCTGCTGCAACTGAATGTCAGTGGTGGAGGGAGTGGATGTTTGTGGACATGATGCCAGTCAAGTGGGTTGCTTTACCCTGGATGGTATCAAGCTGGAGTGTTGTTGGAGCTGCAGTCATCCAGGCAAGTGGGGAGTATTCCATCACCCTCCTGACTTGAACCTTGTAGGTAGTGGACAGGCATTGATGAGCCAGAAGTGATTTACTTGCTGCAGGATTCCTAGCTTTTGACCTGTTCTTGTTACCTGAGTATTTATGTAGCTGATCCAGTTCAGTTTCTGGTCAATGGACACCTCAGGATGTTGGTAGTGGTGGAATTAGTGATGGTAATGAATGCCAAAGGGCAATGGTTAGATTCTCTCTTATTGGTGGTGGTCATTACCTGGCGTTTATGTGGCACAAAGCTTACTTGTCACTTGTCAGCCTAAGCCTGGATATTGTCCAGATCTTATTGCATTTGGCCATGGACTGCTTCAGTATCCAAGGAATCCTGAATAGTGCTGACCTTTGTGCAATCATAAGTGAACATCTCCACTTGTTGACTTCTGAAGGAAAGAAGTCAAT